GCGAAGTGCATTTAAAATCCTTTAACGCACGGCTAGCCGTTGATTATCCTGCTTATTCCATGGTCATTTGCCAAGTTATAGACAAGTTAAAACTAGTATTGCTTTTTGCAGCACAATATTTGACGGAATGGGTAAAAATGACAGTTATTTTCGTCAGTTACGGCACGTTTACATCTGAACTTAATTTTAACCTCTTAAAGATGTCCTGTGGACGTCCAAAAGACGTCATAAAAACTTTCATTCTGGCTCTTCAGGGGACGTCATTTCAACGTCCGAAAAAGACGTTGAAATGACGTCGTTTGGACGTACCTTTGCTCAGTGGGATCTCTACAAATTACTTTAAACACCCTCGTTGCTGGGGAATATAATGTAGCGATCTAGTATCTAGGCTATTTTATTCATGAAAATCACGGGGAAGCGTTGACAACAAGTTTGTTTGTGTGCGTGTGCAGCACAATCAGCGATCTCTGACCTCTCTCTCTGTTTGTGTGTGTGTGTGTGCGAGTGATGCGTGTTGGTTAGTGTGTATCAATTAAAGCACTGTAGTGGACACCATGCATCAAAGGTATGCGGTAAGACCACATTTATTTTAATGAATTATAGCATGTATTTCAGTTAATTATCGATCGATCGTTTGAGAGAGAGAGAGAGACTGAGAGAGATGACAGTTCTGTGTAGCTGCGTCTGCGCGTCTCTCTGTACAAACAATTACTTCAAAAACAGCAATTACTTCGTTGCTGAGGAATATAATGTAGCGATCTAGTATCTAGGCTATTTTATTCATGAAAATCACGGGGAAGCGTTGACAACAAGTTTGTTTGTGTGCGTGTGCAGCACAATCAGCGATCTCTGACCTCTCTCTCTGTTTGTGTGTGTGTGTGTGCGAGTGATGCGTGTTGGTTAGTGTGTATCAATTAAAGCACTGTAGTGGACACCATGCATCAAAGGTATAAAAAGTGAATCAATAGAACTAAATGTGTGGTCCTAAAAAAACACGTTTTTAAAATATTTGCTACGTGAAAATGGTTTGAATACACATAAGAACATGTCATGTCGGCACAGAAATGTGAAGTGTAACAAACAAAACGTAAGAGTGTGTGTCTATGGGCCAGGGGTGTGTGGGGCTGTGTGGGGCTGTGTGGGGCAGTGTGTCGGGGTGGTGGGCTATTCATACACATGTGAGCACAAATACAAACACACACAAGCACACACACCCTCCCACCACACACTCAAACACAATCATGCACACATATATCTGCACTCATACAGTATACATGTATACATGCCTATACTTTTATATTACCTAATAAATAAATATAGACTAAGCATTGAAATAAATGATAAAATCTGAAGAATATTTAATATTTCTGTTCAATAAAACCATTCAGGTGTAAATTATATCATAATTTTAATAAAACACAAAATAAGGCAGAACCTATATATAGGCCCATAGGCAGAATTTTTTCCCTTTGGTGCATGACGTCTACTGTAGTGGACAGGTATATTTTCTGTCACAGAAAAAAATGTACAAGAAAAATATTGTTAAAATCTGGATGAATCTATTTCTGACATCCTATTTAACTGAAAAATATTTTTTGTACCTGTCTGGTTTTCTGAGAATAAAAGTATTTAACACTTATTCCCGAGGTACATGGTGCATCCCCTTTTCCTGCCGCCATTTTGAATATTGCAGAGGTACATGGTGCATCCCCTTTTCCTGCCGCCATTTTGAATATATTATGCAATATCTCAAAACAAAAAAATAGATAAAAAGACAACAATTAAATGGAATCGTAGACAACACTTTGGAGGTTCGCCAGTTGGTGGTTGGGACATGATGCTTCATCTTAAATGGTTCAAACTGGCTTCCAAATATCTGTCCACTGTAGTGACCACGATGCATCAGAGGGTTAATATAGAACGGTGATTAAACTGACGTGGAACTACCTGTGCGTTAAACGGTTTTACTGCATACCTGCTAGCCAATCTGAATCGAGTATTCAGACAGACCATGGAATATATATGAGCACTATCACTCGAGTACGAGAGCGATACCGGCTCTATATCAGCATGGCTGTGATTAGGTCAAAGGCAC